GGCCATACGACAGTTTGCTATAAACTGCAAGACGGTTACACGGATAATTTTGTGTATAACAACACTATACACTATTATTTCATATAACAATATAATACACGATCTACGAGTGCGCAACGATCGTGAGTGATTGCGGAGGCGCTTAATCTGCTCGTCCTCGTACATAATAATAATAATAATAATATATCATCATTGCGGTGTTACGTGTGCCGCGGGTGTGTGTTAAATAATTATTTAATTTTGTTATTTTTTATTTTCGTTTTATTGTTTATTTTACGGGCTTACGCTCGCGCTCCGCAATACCAACGGTTATCGCTGCAGGTGCCTGTGCAGAAATTATTGTATTCGTTCTTGGTCTGTACCACCGCGGTTTTCGCAATCTCTCACACCGTTGCTCAAACCGTGGCCGCGGCGACTATAAGTAAGTATAATAATTACACCGTATATGTGCCCACATTATAGTAAGCACATTCAAATATACTAAGCAAGCGATGAAATATTATTATATTATTGTGTTTTAAATTGTATTGCGTGCGATTGACGAGGAAGATTTTTCTTTGCCACCCGAGATCCGAGCGCAGTTGTATGTCGGTTCAACCCGCTAAAACGATAATTGTAGGAGGCTCCTATATTGTATGCAATATAATATTACAATAATTGGACAAATATCTATACTTTTATTAATCTTTATGTATACCGACTACCTAAACTGTATTTTATTTTAGTTTATGTTATGTATTTATGTCACACGGCCATAGAATATATTATTCAGCTACATTGAGTGCACCCAACATATTTTTGTTATGGAATTTTGCAACGACACTGTCATAGAGATGGTTTTTCATTCCCTTTTACGTCACTGTTAATATTACAATATAGTAGACAGTAGGTATTGTCATATTAAAACTTAAGTAAAATTCAATAGATACTTATCAAAGCATTTGTTATTCGAATATGTATAATATTGAATACATAAAATATTAATATGTGTCTTGAATTCCTGATGTCATACCTTATTGTATATACGTGGCTTCATATAATGCTTGGTCCCCGTGGAATACGACGGGCAAAGGTCGTGCATGTGAAAAAGAAATGTTTTTAAAAAAGATTCATTTCTCGACCTTTTGCGACCTTGTCCTCTATTACAGTACCTGTATTATCATTTATCTGTGTCAGGCATAATAATACGTAATACCCGACGATCGGTCTTTTTATATTTGTATATGCACCACTCGCCAATAGTGTGCCAATTCGTGATGAATGAAAATATGAATATGCCACCTCACAACACGACTAAAGCTTTTTCACACGCAGAAATTAAAAAAGGCCGTCGAGATGAAAGCGTTTTTTCCTCTGTGCACATATTGAACTGTATATATTATTACAGAATGAGAATGATGTGCTGCACAGTTCCAAGGTCAAGAAAATTTACACTTTTTCGTGAATTAATATTTATGTTATAGTTATGAAATGTTATTGTATAGTATTAGGTATTTAAAATTGTGTGTATGTGATAATGCATGGGAAGGACATCAACAAACCGTGGCCAAGTCGATCGTTACTGTCGTCTGTCACTATAATGAGTATAATACTATATATACGCTTGATAATACATATATTTTTATGCATTATAATTAGCGAATGGATGCGAGGACTATGAAACCCAAATTTATTATTGCAGCCGTTCAATGACTGATTTTGTATGACACTTCGCCCAAACGCATAGCGGCACCCTGCAGATAAAATATGTTTATCGTATTCTATATCAATTCTTTCTTTTTAATTCTTTTACATAAGAGGTCGTATTAATAGGCACAATACACAAATTTCCAATTCACTATAATGACAATCAAAACAACAGTACTATAGTTGTACGTAAACGAATATATTAAACGAAAATATTATGATAAAAAATACAATTTCAATAATTCCTTTACGTAAGTAGGTATTTGCATCATATGTACGATCGGTCAGCAAATTATAAAATAATAATTATATAATGTACCTCGACGAAAGTCTCCATATGAGTGTAATATACACAGCACTTTATAATGCCTATATAATATAAAAGTATACCTATATATATATATGTATATAATAGTATTATGTTTATACATAGGAACTATATGGTCTTAGCTAAGACACGGTGAGGAATAGAAATAAATAAAAAATATAAGTGAACATCTTAGTATAATACTTACCTACATAAACATAAATAATATAATTCGTTCTATAAAATGTTAGGCAACACCCATGCAAGCGCTTTCAGTCAGATGCAACATTATTGTGAAATTCGATGACATTAGCCTGCACTGTTAACATAATACAATTGATTCAACCACAATCCATATGAGTGTAATAATGTGTGGTTGATCCAGAATAAATCAAAGGGGGAGTAATTAAAATGTATCCAATATAAAAAAAAAATATAATAAGCTCAAGCCGTTCATGGGGGGTGGGGGGAGGGGGTTATATGTATGGTGTATTATTATGTTATAACTATAATTCAAATATTTCTTTAATCAATTGGTTTTAGGTTATGTATGTATAGGTACTATAGGTATACAAGTAAATATAAAATTTAATTCTATCTTTGTAAAAGCCGATTGGCATTAATTTATAAAAAATGTAATAAATAAATTCATATAGGTACATATTACATACTTTTTTTGTTTATTATAGAACTCACTATCATGGAAGATGGATAAATATTACACTCGGTGGTTTTATATGCTTTAGTACCTATGTATTGTTTTCGTGTATTTGTGCATAAATTAAATACAAACTATATAGTTCCCTCACTACCCCCTCCCCCCGCTGACTATTGATTTTATATTATAGGTATAAACTATATAGTAATCTGCATTTCATAATATGCCCGGGAAATTGCGTAAAAAATCACTACTAACATGATTGCTCTCGTTTACGTGTACAGGATGATTACATTAGACAAGAAGGATATCCGGCGGAGAGACACACGGTGATCACGGCAGATGGTTACAATCTGACGCTGCACAGGATACCGTACAGTCGAAACGATGACCTGGCTGCCCTCACCAGAAGACCGGCGGTGCTGGTCCAACACGGCATACTGTGCAGTTCGACGGACTGGGTGATCGCAGGACCCAATAGCAGTCTAGGTGAGTGTTTTACTTAGGTCCCGGTTGAAGTCCTAGTACTCAAGTATTGTCTATGGTGTGAAGGGGAGGGGGATATTTTTTAATATATCTTAAGTTTCAATAAAACATTAATGACGAAAAAGAGAGTGGGTGATTTAAAACATATAGAATATAGAAAATAATGCACACTTCCCTAATAATATATATATTTATGTATTCTATACAATTGATTAAGGTATTTTTTTTAACTGTTTCCGAAGCTGGGTGATGACTAATTTTCAAACATATCAATGGGAACACTGGAACAGGATTGAAACATATACTGTTTTTGTTGTAGTATTTGAATGACATTTTTTTTAAACTACCTACATACAAACTCAATATTAGCCATACTTACGTATTACATTCAAAATCTAAATATCATCATAGTCATATTATAATATGATGAATAATAAATAATAATATAATTATATAGGTAGGTAGGAACTAGGTAATACATGGTATATAATTAGTATTTAGTTTAATGTCATAAACACATGTACGGTATATTAGGTATCCGATGAAAGTTTGAGATACAGTTATTATTGAGATGCTGAACGATAACACACTCGTTCATTTGATTACCTGTTCCATGATAATAACACAAATTACTAAATCGTGATATAAATATAATATAACAGTATACCGAGGTAACTTGCATTCAAAATCGCGGGACACAAATTACCTTTGTACAGGATTTATTATCTGGGACGCGACAACTTAGTCTAGTTCGAATCCTAAAGAGCAAATGTCGTGAAATTGCAGTTATTCTATTATAAATTGTCATGTACCTATTATATTTTTACGATTGTTATTGTTGATCTCTCGCCGTATTTTCAGCGTTCATACTGTCGGATGCGGGATACGACGTGTGGCTTGCAAATTCCCGGGGAAACACGTACTCCAGAAACCACGTGACCCTAGACCCGGCGAGGGAACCGGAAAAGTTTTGGGATTTCAGGTAAATAACATAATATTAATATAAGTAATACCGTTGATTATTTATTAAATACCCGTATATAATCAATGGTAACACCTATAAATATAACATGATGGTAGAAAGAAATAATATACAGTAAAACTTTCTTATAACGGTCCCCCTACATACAGAACTTTTTTTCACAAGCGAAAATAACAACAGTCCCGTGTAACGTGTTTTCCATAAAATATTTTGGTCTTCCCATATAACTTCTTTGTAACTAAAAATGCAGTTTGTACCAATGAGTGATTCCATTATAAAGAGGTTTTACTGTATACAATATACATGTTATTGTATATAATATTACGATATATTAGATGAGCTAGGCCGGCATAATATATGGGGAGACATTGATATCCGTGAATTGCTGGACATAAAATATAGGTAATTATTATAATATCATATTTTTTACTGTAATTGCTGAGTTATCGTAGTGAGTTGTATACAAGTTGTATACTTTTATAAAATTTAAAAAAATAGTAATAATAATATTATATTATAATACTATGTAAATGAACCAGAACGATAATACCGTGATCTCGTCTCCATTTTGTCGCTTACACAATTGTCACACATTATTTATTATTTAGCTGGCACGAGATGGGCACAATCGACCTGCCCAACACGATCGATTACATCCTGGACAAGACAGGCGAACCAGACTTAAACTACGTGGGTCACTCGATGGGCACGGCCATATTTTACGTCCTGTGTTCGGAGAGACCCGAGTACCAGGACAAGGTTCGGTCGATGTCAGCAATGGCTCCGATCGCCTACCTGAACCACGTCAAAAGTCCGATCATGACCTTCTTGTCGTCCGTGGCGGACCCGTTGGCTGTAAGTACAGCGTGCGAGAGGCGATAAAAATTATTATCGCAGATGTGGTAGGCGTAAATCCAGTGGATTTAACGTAGTAAAATAATTACCTAATAATTTTAGTAAGTATCTATACTATATAGGGCGTAACAACCTGAAAAATGAAAGAAACTAACCTAACCTTAGCTCCCCGTCATAAGCGTACCTAACTGCCATTTTTGTGATAGCAAAATAATGTTCGGATAATAGGTACACTCTCAGCTATAACACTATTATTAGTTTATCTGAATTTACTGAATTACATAAAAACATGACGGACCCATTTTGATATTTCTAATACGAGTATATTATACATTTATACCTATAAATGTGTCTCAATATTATAATTCTTAACAAAAATTGTAAAAACAAATCATTAAAATGTTATTACACATAATATAATACATTTACAATCGTCTAACAATCATGACTGTCGAGTGTCTACTAGATAAAAACACATGTATACCATACAGATTACAGATAATTTTATTGGAAACATTTAACATAATGTACCTACTTATTGTTTTCAATTATCTAAATTGGGGCTTGATAAAGAGTCACTGACTATAAATATTTATTTTATTACCTTGTTTATATTAAACACAATAATATTATTGATAAAACTGTATGGAGCAATTAATATAGTTAACTATGGGTATAATGTATAAACGCCGATACTCTCCGCTATTATTTTATCGATATGTACAAAAACAAATCATTTTTTAAACAAACACAAACATAATGATGGTATGTTGAAATATATAATTATACCTATCTGAAATCGTATATACCTACTCCATTGCCACCGATTTTTGAGTATTTTACATTTTGTACTCACGTGGTGCCTCGGTTTTCAGTGGTTGTGCAACAGTCTGGGATACTACGAGTTCAGGCCGAACGGAAAGATTTTACTGTTCGCGGGGAAAGCATTCTGCGAAGCTAACTCGCTGGCCGAAGGTGTTTGCGACAACTTGCTGTTTCTATACGCCGGATATGATTCGAAACGACTGATCAAAGTACGTGAGCGCACCTGAAGTGATATCGATATAATATTATATACATGTTTTTAATAATAATTAAAAAACCTATTTTCTCAATATATCTTCGCTCATTTTTCGCGATCCACTCATTGTCCCGGTCGATTTTTGTGTCTATCAACATTTTTTATAAATTGTTATCATTGATTGTATCTATTATCTATCTCCAGTATGAGTAGGTATATTTAATATTCTAAATAAATAATATTATTCACGCGGCATGGAGAAACGCAAAATCGACCGATGAAACGAGTGGCTTCCATTTAAAAAAAAAATATGATTCTGAGCATTACCCACCAACAGAAAATCTAAGACTAATGGGCTAAACCACATTTTTTGTAAAACCGTTTCAGAGCATTCTGCCGATAATTTTGGCACACACTCCGGCTGGTGCATCCGCACGTCAACTCACTCATTTCGCTCAGCTCATGAAACGCGGTCAGTGGAGTGCATTCATATCATAACTATAATATGTATAACAATAAAATACGATGATAATAGATTTATGAAATTTTATCACAGAAACTACTGGTTGAAATTTCAATTTCAATTATGTATTGATAACTTTTATTTGGTCGATAATGGTTTGCTACCAAAAAGGTGACTCTTAATTGATAAAAGTAGGTTTGCATGTATCTTCCACTCAATCGGCACTCATTGAAGAAGAATTTAAGAATTAGAAAATATAAAATAAAATTTACAATTAAAAAATATAATAGATGGGTGGGTGAGAGTAGTTGGTGAACCTTTCGCTGTATATTCTTACCAGGGAGTGCTTGTGCAGAATTGCCAATTTTATTTTAGTCGACTGGCTTCAGCAGCCGACTAATACATAATGATATCATAATAAAAATGTATATTTTATTGATTTATTTATCGTTTTGTGTACCCACAATGATATGTCAACAGACCAATGGTTCGGCCAGTACAACTACAACAAACAGAAAAACTTGGAAAAGTACGGACAACCGGAACCGCCAGCGTACGACCTGACAAACATCACGGTGCCAGTGGCTCTGTATCACGCACAAAACGATTGGCTGTCGTCGATGGAGGTAAAATAATATTATTAATTTTCGTGAACGCGTTGCACAGTCGTCGGCAGCGCACGCAAACCATTCCGTAGTTTACGCAATAATATTATATCATTAATTTAGTATAACTGTAATAGGAATTTCAAGTATGCTCAAAGCGATCTGTGTTTTCGTCCTAGTTCGCACATGTGCATTGCCTTGTATTTTTGTGCATACTGCATTCTCATAAAACAAAAATATAATAAATTATACCTACACATTTTGCGTCAGATTAAGTTGATTGTTGCGGTTGCATAATATACTATATTAAAATAAATCGTACACTTCCCCTAAATATGCGCACTCTTATCTTTGGGCATACTTCCTTATTCCTTACAATAATATTGTACACATTTTTATACACGTTGTCGTTGCGCGCATATACTTTTCAGGACGTCAAGGTCCTGGCGAGCAAGCTTCCGAACGTGGCCGAGAGAAAGGTCGTGCCGTTCCCGGAGTTCAATCACTTAGACTTCCTGTGGGCGAATGACGTGAAAAACATCGTTTACGACGACCTGATCGGGTTCATGAAAAGGCACGACCGGAAGTACGTGGATGTAAGGCTACGGCCATCTGCGGAAGTGGACGCGAACGTCGTGCACCCGGATTACATCGTATCCGACGTTGCGTAGAGGTGAAAATATAGCGAGTGCAGACCGTCGACCCTTACAACTCCATTCACTGGCGCCATCACATCGCGGGTGAGAGACGGGACAACGCAGTTTTCCGCCAAAATCGACCTTTCCGTTTATATATACCACTGCACTAGTATAGCACCTACGGGGAATCTTTCACATGGGCAACAAGAATAAAAGTCGTATTAAAGAGAAATTTGTTAAGTAGAATTAAATAAATTTGGTTCTCAAAAATATTTAAGCAGAAGATATTGTTGTTAAACGGAAGTTAGTTGTATACAGGTAGTGCAATCACGAAATCACAATATGAGGTAGGTGCCACTTAATATTTCAGTTGAATGACCATTAATTGAAATGGGGTTTTCGAGAAATAATATCCGATAAGGAAGTATCTAAATGCACATTTTCTGGCAAATTTCAAAACTGTAACTCTTAAAACACATGCGTAATACAACTTGTTTTTTTTTACAAGACTTCAATTTTTCTACGGATTCAGGCAGACTATTTTTTTAAAACAATTTTTGTTGAAAAAATGTTTTTCTAATTATAAAATTGGTTCAGTTATCGTATGATGAAATGTAATATTTGTTAAGGAAAATTGTTTAAAAAAAATTCTCCAACTGAATCCGTAAAAAAAATTGGGGTTGCCATTAAAAAAAAGTAAGCTGTATTGCTATATTAATATATATATATATATATATATCTGTGGGATGTATCTCCTGTTTTTTCTTCTTTTTCGAGAACGTTTTCTCTCGACGGGTAAAAGTCTGTTTTTCCTTCTTCCGCGTTTTTGTTGTGCAAAGATGTTAATGACTCATTCCTGTTACAATCAGTGGCGTGCCCTGGGGGGAGGTAAGGGGTTATTCTGTCCCCCTTGTCCCATAAATCATCTTATTTGTGTCTGTTGTACTAGCATCAATTAATTTAAATATATTAGCAGGGTTCTGAGTTAGGGTTTTAGAAAATTCATATATTTCTTATAAAATTCTTAAAGATAACAGAACATGCTTCTTAAAATGTGTTTTATAATACAGAGAACTGAAGGAATTAAACATTTGACATCACATACTTTGAGATTTTTTTAACAAAGTTGATCGTATATTTTATGAAATAACATTTTAATTGACGTGTTTTTGATTATATGTCTATACATTTTAAAAGTAAACATAGATTAAATAAAATACACTTACAGACACAACGACACATTATTTCGTATTGAGTACCTATATTTGGTATTGATTTTAATCTTTTGTTATTTTATAATTTTAATGGGATCCTTTTTTGTCATTTACGGTTGTGATTATCTTCGAACGAGGGTTTAAGGTACTATATTAAATATTAATACGGCCGACCTATTATAACTTTGTTTTAAAATTCAAATTTTCGCACATTTTGTGGATTTTAATCTTGTATATTTTTAGCACATATTGGCGGTATTTAATGTAATATTATAGCACGTATGTTGCAATTTTAAGCGCTATAAAATCCCCACCCTGATTTTTTTATTACTTATAACATTCATTGAACATTTTTGGGAATGCCACGGGTTACAATACTATAAGGAAGTTGTCCACAATACAAGGAATCCCAGATAGCATAAAATCATAATATCATTATTTGATTTTTAGTTTGAATATTTAGTTAATATCGTATAAATTTCTTATGAACCAAGAAATATTGTTTCACAAATAATGAAATTTTTATATGACATTTATTTTTAATATTATAAATTGTATCCCTGAAATTTTGATACCTGATCTATACCTGATATATATAAATATATAAGTATTGTAATATTAATATTATATGGTACCACGCTTTATACATTGTACATGATCTACCGGAGCTGGTTTTGATGTCACTACTTGTTTAAACAACGGCATTATGTGCATTATTATTTATATTAAATATTGTTAAGCTGATTTAATTATTATACTATTGATGTTTAATACAATTAAATCACAATTATATGTACGTAAATAGACTTTTAAACTTATAAATAAGTTTTTTAGAGCATTTGATAACAGAACAATAATCCTATATTTAAGATTTAAATAAAAAATAAGAAAAATTAAACAGGATTATATTTTTTATATTATATCTTCTGAATAATATTTGTTAGAATAAACTTACAATAATTATATAAATCCTTTTTCCTCAACAATATTGTTTTAATTAAAATTGTAATGCAGTCAACCATTTTCCAATCATCAGAGAAATAAGGCTCACAAACCTCAATTATTTACTTAATAAGATTGATAGTAATTAACTAATAAAGAAGAAATTAAAACTTACCAAATTGCATAGGTAAAAAAAAACCAAAATAGAGAAAAACAACAAGTTTAAAGTTAATAATAAAGCGTGTAAATTTTTTGAATGTGTGTAAGTATTTGATAATAGTAATTTAATTTTAATTATTTATGAATGTTGTAGTACTGATAATATATTTTCCAATAAACATTTTTTCTTAAAAGTGTCTACAAGTATTTTTTATTCTTGGTTAATATGTAATTTTGACAAAATTTGAACTTAAAATTCTGTAAAAAATAACTGTATTTATATATTTTTAGATTTGTGGTTATATTATGAACTCTTAATGAGAATCTTTGTTTTAAATTGTAAATTCTTAGCTATAAAAATGTACATAATATAATTTCTTAATTAACTACAAAATAATTTTAAAATTTTAATGAATTTCGTGAAAACACTGAAATACAATTTAAAAAAAAAACAGTTATTATTATTTATTTTATAATATGAAAGAAAAATAGTTTTTTTTACTAATAATCGAAAATTAAATGAATAATGAAAATTATTTTCATAAAAACCAAAATATTACTAAGGCCCATATTAATGCCGGCCATTTATTAAGGAGCAAATCATGGGCAACCTAATTCACACATCCTTTTCGGCGTAGCCCAATCTTGTGAATTTGGCGAGTCGTATGCAGTAGTGTAAAAAATGGTCATAAACAGGGTTCGGATTTTATAACATTTGCTACTTATTATAGGAGAGAGATAAAAATAGCAGAGTGGGCTATCAATTTGTTTTATGCACCATACAATATGATTGACGTTATAAACTTACAATAAAGTTGCGATTTTCACAAGCTACATAAATTAATTTTACACTAGGGTGTCGATGCGTTTGATAATAATATAATACTATTTCAATTCAAAAACAGTTATATATAAGTAGCATAACAAACCAAGTTTATTTGTATAAATCAACTGTAAAGAGTATGAACAAAACAGCAACAAGAAGATCGCGGTAACCCTAACCACATCACAGAGAAAGTTTGATACATACATTTAGTCCGATGAAGTTAATTAATAATTAGTTATTATTAATTAAAATGAACGTGTAAATTGTATACCTATACCTTTTTTAGAACCCCTAGAACCCCCCCTGTATATGCGCCTGAGATTTGGCATTTTCAACGAGCAATGAGAAATTTGAGCCCACCCACATTTTGCAACGATACAAGACTAATCTAATACTACAAATCAAAAAATTGAGAAGTGAGAGTATTTAGAGTGCATAATCTTAACGGGTTTTGGTACTGGAAAAACTGTTTTAATACCAAGAATACAAATTATATTCTTAGATTTACCTTTTCAGTTTAAACATATTCAATTTCCGGTTAAATTAGCATTTGCAATGACTATAAATAAAGCATAGTGACAAACTCTTAACGTTGCTGGAATTAACCTGAGCGTTCAATGTTTTTCTCACGGTAAACTGTACGTCCCCCTATCAAGTGTGACATCCAAATTTAATTTGTATATTTTTGCCCCCGATCCAGAAAAGTTGACAACGTCGTTTACAAAGACATTTTTTAATGAAAAACTACATTTGATTTACCTGTGATACATAATTTTTATAGAGATGTGTATATCCGCAACCTAATATGAATACAAAGTTCCCAAAATCGATAAACTTACTTGTAACTCAACGTAATCTATTCAAAACAACAACTGCAGGTAATATATTATTACACCTCATTGGTATGTATGATATAGTATAATCTCAGTAACCTTAAACATATAGGATTATTTATCGATTAACAATTGTTTATTAGAAATTGAACAGTTCAATAAAATAAACCTACCTTGAAGTCTTAGAGACGGTCATTGGAGGTTTTCTTTTCAGAATGCGATAGTTCAATTTTTGCTACTATATAAATGCCAATCAACAGTCGGATTATAAAGATTACGCGTTATCAGTTTTGTACAATTTTATTATGTGCGCATATTTACATGTCCAGTAACTTGAGTTCTTTATTTTAACTCTATTTCAGCTCCATCTAATCTATCTGGTAGAACATTAACATTGAGGAACTCTGTAGCTAATGCTCAATCTCCAGCATCAATATATGACCCACAAACGAGACAGATACTACCACGGGTCAAATTAAATCGACAAAATCCAAGTAGACCAAACATACCAATGAAAAATCGTTATGTGAACAACTCTGCTCGGAACAACTATGTTCAGTTTATATCCAAGTTGTTATAATCTAATCCAAAAATAATTGTTTCAAAAACGTTATAACAATAATATTATAATTGAATTAAAAAAATTATCTTAATGACTTTATTTGAATATGACACATTTGTATTAATAATCTGTCCATTAGAAGTTATGATGTAATCATAATTATTAAATTAAAGAAAAATTAACTGACCTTGTTTGACCAATATTCTTGTGCTCTAATTTAAATGCCTGTTTGACGGTAAATAATGTTGAAGATTTTTTAAATTGAATTACAATATATAAATTATAATGATAATTATGTAAATTAAATATTGGTACTTTCCTGTAATATGAGACTGCCCTGTTTTTTGACAACATCACAATCCCGTTATCTAAGAGTCTAAGACTACCAAACTGATACTTTCTTGTTATACGAGACTTCGGCTATTATTAGGTATATTATATCTATCATTACCTATATTATTAGTTTTTGTAATTGGTGTTACCTTTATATTACCTTTTTATATGTTTTTGCAATAGTTGTCACGTCTGTCTCATGTTTGAGCATCACAGTCCTTTTCTATTTGTTACTATATTACGGTTTATTTTTACTTAGAGTCAAGAGTTAACTTCAATAAAATGGTGTGAACAAAATTTGAAAATAAATTAACATACAGTAATAGGTTGGAATAACTATTTGCGGGAAGTTTGTGTTCTAAATATTGAGGTGAGGAACCAAAGACAAATTGGATTAGGACGCGGTAAAATAAGATTAAAGCTTAATTTCCATTTTGAATGTCTATATATTGGGAAACCTTTACTTTTTTTATTATTATCATTATTATTTTATTGTTTTCCGTACTCCTCGGCAAATTTGGCACTTTGGCTTGTACCACGTATAATATATCACACATAATTATTATGTTTTTAAATCTTTTCTTCATTTCATTTTTTTTTTCATA